GAGGGCAACCATAATGCTGATATGGCCCACAATGAAATGCAGTTTGACACCCCTGCGCTAAAGGGTTGAATTTAGTAAAAAATAGAGAGACCAGTCCTTAGGAAAAAAATCCCTTATTGAACGAAAACAAAACAAAAGTTTTTGACAAGTCCGTTATTTAAAAAAAAAAGTCCAAAAAATGGTTCCATCGTTGTAATCCATCATCAATCATGGCGTCAAACGACCCGTTCGTACCCGCTGAGCACTCACCGCACTCTGACATTTGCCAATCAGATGTAAGCAATTGGATGGGGCTAACGGTGACATCACTGCAAGCTCTGCCCAATTGTGCTGTGATTGGCCAAAGCAGTGCACCAGACTGGCTTTGGCCAATCACACTGTTGGATTGTTTGGGTTCCTTTGCCCTGTACAGGAGATGGCCCATCTTTACAGGTCTTACAGCACCCCTCAGAAAGTAGAGTAAAGGGAAACAGGACACCCCCTGGACATCAGAGCACCCTGGACAGCAAGAAATTGGTAGGAGAATGCATGAACAACTCGAACACTCTGAAGCAACAGCAACCTCTGCAGTTCTGTCTGTCCGCAGCACAACACTTGTCCAGGTGCAGCATTCCTCCCAGCAGAACAGCGCACATGGCCTGCTTTGTAGGCTCTCACAGAACCCCCAGGCACTCACGCTCTCTCCCCCTCTGTGGGTCCAAGCCACTCTGAGCTCAGCCGGGGGGTGGGCAGTTCTCCAGGTCATGTGGCCAGTCATAGTCTTCATTGACCAGTCAGCCAAAAGAATCCTCCTGATGCCCTGTTCTAGGGACGGGTCTCCTTCAGCTGAAGCAGAAGCCAAACACTGGGTGCAGTCTCCTCCTCTCTCCCTCCCTGGGTTGGAAGAGGAGAGGAGAAAAGAAAAAAAAAGTACTGCTGAGCGAATATGGAGAACTCAGCCGGCGTTAAACTTCCCCCACCAAAAACTCTTTGGTCCTCCAAAGAACAAAAATTTGCACACATACATTTAAGCTAGATAGCAGCATTCTCTGGGTAACAGTCTGCAACAAACAGCTCCCCACAACAGAAGACCTAAGCCCCTCTCTTTGCTTTGTTGGCTCCAGGCAGCACAGTACAGGCTCCCACAGCACCCCCAGGCACTCATGCTCTCTCCCCCTCTGTGGGTCCAAGTCACTCTGAGCTCGGCCGGGTGGTGGGCAGTTCTCCAGGTCATGTGGCCAGTCATAGTCTTCCTTGACCAGTCAGCCAAAAGAATCCTGATGCCCCGTTTTAGGGACGGGTCTCCTTCAGCTGAAGCAGCAGCCAAACACTGGGTGCAGTCTCCTCCTCTCTTCCTCCCTGGGTTGGAAGGGGAGAGGAGAAAAGAAAAAATAAGTACTGCTGAGCGAATTTTGAGGACTCAGCCGGCGTTAAACTTCCCCCACCAAAAACTCTTTGGTTCTCAAAAGAACAAAAATTTGTACACATAAATTTAAGCTAGATAGCAGCTGTCAGGGCTCTGTCCTCGGCAGAGGTGTTAGGAGACCTGGCACCCCTGCCAGTACCTTGCATGGCCGCAGAAGTACACATCGGCTCAAATTTGGTGCCAAACGGCCTTTATAAGGAAGCCCTGCACTACTCTCAGGTGCTGGTTGATCTCTGGCTTCCCAGTACCTTGCTCCTGTGCTATTGTGATTTCCTGTTAACGACTCGGCTTGCTCCTGGACCTGTCTGCTCTGTTTTTAACCCCTGACCTGACCCCAGCTTGTCTAACTCTCTTGCTCTCTGTGTATGACCTCGGCTATCCCTTTTGACTACGTCTGCTCCGATCCCCACCTGGCACCCGACCTTGGCTCAAACTGTTCTCCTGTGATCCTCTGTTTTCTGGAAGACCTGCATACCTCACACAGATGCCCCTGCCTGCAGACCCCATCTCAGCGCATCAGCCGTGCTCCTGGGTGGACCACCTAACAAGCACTCCTACAGGTGACCTGTGCTACTCTGGGCCTGACTCCTGCTGTCCCACCTTCAGGGGAGTCTGGAACTTAGGTGCAAGGGAAGCCCTCTCTCCATTGGCCTCTGTCACCAGGTATGTGATAGCAGCATTCTCTGGGTAACAGTCTGCAACAAACAGCTCCCCACAACAGCAGACCTAAGCCCCTCTCTTTGCTTTGTTGGCTCCAGGCAGCACAGGCTCACAGAGCACCCCCAGGCACTCACACTCTCTCCCCCTCTGTGGGTCCAAGCCACTCTAAGCTTTGTCTGGAGGTGAGCAGTTCTCCAGGTCATGTGGCCAGTCATAGTCTTACTTGACCAGTCAGTTTTTGAAGACTCAGCCAGCGTTAAACTTCCCCCACCAAAAACTCTTTGGTCCTCGAAAAAACAAACATTTGTACACATAAATTTAACCCAGATAGCAAGTCTCTGGGTAACAGTCTGCAACAAACAGCTCCCCACAACAGCAGACCTAAGCTCTTCTCCTTGTTTTTTTGGCTCCAGGCTCGCACAGAACCCCCAGGCACTCATGCTCTCTTCCCCTCTGTGGGTCCAAGCCACTCTGAGCTCTGCCAGGTGGTAGGCAGTTCTCCAGGTCATGTGGTCAGTCATAGTCTTCCTTTATCAGTCAGTCAAAATAATCCTCTTGATGCCCCATTCTAGGGACGGGTCTCCTTCAGCTGAAGCAGCAGCCAAACACTGGGCGTAGTATCCTCCCCTCTACCTCCCTGGGTTGGAAGGGGAGAGGAAATAATAAAAAAAAAGTACTGCTGAGCGAATTTTGAGAACTCAGCCGGCGTTAAACTTCCCCCACCAAAAACTCTTTGGTCCTCAAAAGAGATAAAATTTGTACACATAAATTGAAGCTAGATAGCAGCATTCTCTGGGTAACAGTCTGCAACAGACAGCTCCCCACAACAGAAGACCTAAGCCCCTCTCTTTGCTTTATTGGCTCCAGGCAGCACAGTACAGGCTCCCACAGCACCCCCGGGCACTCATGCTCTCCCCCCTCTGTGGGTCCAAGCCACTCTGAGCTCGGCCGGGTGGTGGGCAGTTCTCCAGGTCATGTGGCCAGTCAAAGTCTTACTTGACCAGTCAGTTTTTGAAGACTCAGCCAGCGTTAAACTGGGCAGCACAGTGGCTAAATGGTTAGCACTTCCTCCCACACTCCAAAGACATGCTGGTAGGTGAATCGGCTCCTGTCTAAATTGGCCCTAGTATGTGTATGTATGAATGTGAGTTAGGGACCTTAGATTGTACGCTCCTCGGGGGCGGGGACTGATGTGAATGTACAATATATATGTGAAGCGTCGCTGTGTAAATTGACGGCGCTATATAAGTACCTGAAATAAACAAATAATGATGAATAGAAAGGGGGAATCTCCCTAACGGGGGCACAGACAGCAATACAAACTGACAGGGGTGTCTTATCCTCTCCACTCCATGCAAAACTAAAAAAAAAAAAAAAAGTTTTGCTTTTAGTTATACTTTAAAGTGTTGCTAAACCCACAACAGTACAATCAGTCTGTAGATGCAGTAAAGCATGCTGGTTATACTCACTGTGGAACCCAAAAAGGCTGTTTGATCCTGTCTTCTCTGATCCTCCCCTCCTTCTACTGTTCCTGATCCATCTGCTGAAGAACAGAGCCTTGAGGGCAAGCTTCACATGCTCAGTTTGGTGTGTATTGCGAGAGATTTTTATTTTTTTTTCATTGGGAGGGTGCATGTGATCAGCACAGGGCCAAACAGCACGGTCCAGACAGAGGGTCAGGGGTTCTGCAACCTGCTAGGACAATCCTCCTGCGAGCTTTATCCAGTGCTCTGCTGGACACTGATAGAAGTCACAAGACTGCTCTATACTGCTGATGAGAAAAGGTATTTAGCAATATATATAGTTACTAAAATAATTGCATTTCCATGTTCTGTGTACTGTGGGAGCGCGGATATAGTGAATGCGGGGTCCGGGGAGAGCGGATATAGTGAATACCGAGTCCAGGGAAGGGAATATAATGAATACAGGGTCAGGGGAGACTGGATATAGTGAATACGGGGTCTGGGGAGAGCGGATATAGTGAATGCGGGGTCCGGGGAGAGAGGATATAGTGAATGCGGGGTCCGGGGAGCGCGGATATAGTGAATGCGGGGTCCGGGGAGAGCGGATATAGTGAATGCGGGGTCCGGGGAGAGCGGATATAGTGAATGCGGGGTCCGGAGAGAGCGGATATAGTGAATGCGGGGTCCTGGGAGAGCGGATATAGTGGATGCGGGGTCCGGGGAGAGCGGATATAGTGGATGCGGGGTCCGGGGAGAGCGGATATAGTGAATGCGGGGTCCGGGGAGAGCGGATATAGTGAATGCGGGGTCCGGGGAGAGCGGATATAGTGAATGCGGGGTCCGGGGAGACGGATATAGTGAATGCGGGGTCCGGGGAGAGCGGATATAGTGAATGCGGGGTTCCGGGGAGAGCGGATATAGTGAATGCGGGGTCCGGGGAGAGCATATATAGTGAATGCGGGGTCCGGGGAGAGCGGATATAGTGAATGCGGGGTCCGGGGAGAGCGGATATAGTGAATGCAGGGTCTGGGGAGAGCGGATATAGTGAATGCGGGGTCCGGGGAGAGCGGATATAGTGAATGCGGGGTCCGGGGAGAGCGGATATGGTGAATGCGGGGTCCAGGGAGAGCGGATATAGTGAATGCGGGGTCCAGGGAGAGCGGATATAGTGAATGCAGGGTCCAGGGAGAGCGGATATAGTGAATGCAGGGTCCAGGGAGAGCGGATATAGTGAATGCAGGGTCCGGGGAGAGCGGATATAGTGAATGCGGGGTCCGGGGAGAGCGGATATAGTGAATGCGGGGTCCGGGGAGGGCGGATATAGTGAATGCGGGGTCCGGGGAGAGCGGATATAGTGAATGCGGGGTCCGGGGAGACCAGATACAGTGAATGTGGGGTCTGAGGAGAGCGGATATAGTGAATGCGGGGTCCGGGGAGAGTGGATATAGTGAAAGCAGGGTCCGGGGAGAGTGGATATAGTGAATGCAGGGTCCGGGGAGAGCGGATATAGGGAATGCGGGGTCCGGGGAGAGCGGATATAGTGAATGCGGGGTCCGGGGAGACCAGTGAATGCGGGGTCCGGGGAGAGCGGATATAGTGAATGCGGGGTCCGGGGAGAGCGGATACAGTGAATGCGGGGTCCGGGGAGACCAGATACAGTGAATGCGGGGTCTGGGGAGAGCGGATATAGTGAATGCGGGGTCCGGGGAGAGTGGATATAGTGAATGCGGGGTCCGGGGAGAGTGGATATAGTGAATGCGGGGTCCGGGGAGAGCGGATATAGGGAATGCGGGGTCCGGGGAGAGCGGATATAGTGAATGCGGGGTCCGGGGAGACCAGATACAGTGAATGGGGGTCCGGGGAAAGCGGATATAGTGAATGAGGGGTCCGGGGAGAGGGGATACAGTGAATGCGGGGTCCGGGGAGAGCGATATAGTGAATGCGGGGTCCGGGGAGAGCATATATAGTGAATGCGGGGTCCGGGGAGAGCGGATATAGGGAATGCAGGGTCCGGGGAGAGCGGATATAGTGAATGCGGGGTCCGGGGAGAGCGGATATAGTGAATGCGGGGTCCGGGGAGAGCGGATATAGTGAATGCAGGGTCTGGGGAGAGCGGATATAGTGAATGCGGGGTCCGGGG